TTTGAACCACCAGTCTTTTGGTTAGCCAGTCAAGTGCCTTAGGCACTATGTACTAGTGCTGTATATAATTTAAAACAAATGCATCATTATTACAGTAATTCAAAAATTTTGGGCAAATATATATAAAATGAATTAAATATTTTCCCTTGTGAATGAATTTTTTTTCTCAAATAGTTTTTAATGTACCCAGTAAAATGTGACTACTTGGATTCTTGAGCTATGAATTGTTTTGCATAGCTGAGTTTTCCATAGAGCACAGAATCTATTTACATAGTATATCTTTCTACACTGAACCATGCATATATACATGTACATACATACATAGGATACAATAATGATTTTCATTTTTTTCTTGAGGATTCATGATTGTGGGGCAAAATATAGTTTAGGAAGATGAATACTTAAAATTCTAATATCATCTCTCCTATTTACTGCAGTAGAAGTAGAATGACTTTTAAATTAAAGTAAGCCTTGACCAGTAATTTCTAAAGACCTTTCCAGTTCCAAAATGTTCTGATTCACTATTACGCTGAGTACAGAAACACAAAGTATTAAGAAATAGGCCAATTTATTTTAGTACCAGCCCTAAAACTTATTTCTTTAAAAACTCTTGTTGACAGCTTCCTTTTCAGTAATCTGCAAGTTTCTGATTAAGGTAGAAAGCGGCATGTGCAGCAAGAGAACCCCTAGTGAGGTAATAACAAAATTACTAGTGAATCAAAGAGACTTCTCCCAAGTAATTTCCTCTCCTTGTGGAAAATCACCCACTTCACATCTCACTACTGTCAGTATTAGTGTTCTCTGTCTTGAAGGCCCTATTAAAAACATCATGCAGGATTCTACCAAAATTTTTTAAGGAATGTGAAGGAGAAACACCCCACATCTTTTCATGAATTCATGGCTTTTATTGGCAGCAGGAGAGGTACTATTTATTTAAAAAGTTAAAGATGATGATATCTCTTGATTTCTAGCATTACACACTTTCTTACAACCATGTATCTCAAATACTACTCTGGTTTGATCAATGAGGCCAGATTAGACTAGATAGAAATGTTCCTAAACACTAATCACATTACCCAGAGAAAGCCAATTGACTCGATTATAGACAAGCCAGTCTGAGGCCAATGCGCCTCCAGTGTGACATATGCTGTTTATCACCAGTGGGCAGCTTTGTGTGACCCTTGGGATAACAGGGACCCACAGGGCTGGTGGGACCCTCAGAAAAGCTGTCTGGTCACATCGTTTCAATCCCTGCTCTGTTCTCCGTTTAGTGTGGGCTGTTTGTTGCCACTTCCAATCCAACCTCTTCTTTCTCCTGAGTTGCCAATCTCCACCATTCTCTTACTACATCATTTTTAAAGAACATATGTTTTCTACACTTGTGACTTTCGTAGGAAAAGGCTGTTCTTGTAAAGACATCTCCTGTCTGGGCTCTTTTCCTAAGTATTTCTTTGTGACTGAGATGTGCCTAAATAGAGATGATCTCTGAAACCTAAAGACTGCAGAAAGCTGTTCTGTAAATGGCCCAGGTCTAGAATGGGGAGAAAACAAAAAAATTCCCCTCCTTTGCCATTTAACTGACCGTTGCTGTCCTAGGAAAGGTGAAGCCTCTCTCCCTGGAAGAAGGTGATTTGTACCAAGAGCAAAAAGAGAAAATGGCAGCATACATAGTAGGCGTTACACCTCCCTTTGTCATGGATTCAAAAGACTTAATTTTCAGTGTACCCCTCAGTAACGTAGTTAAATGCTTATGACTCCTAAAGTCAAGTAGCATGACAGTGGATGTATGCCAAAACCAAAATCCTAAAATAAAAACATCAAAGTACAAGTTGTGAATGGTAGGCCTTCTCAGGTACCAAGTAGTTTGCTTCAGTTCATTCATTAGAAACTTAATGACCATCTTATTCTATGCCAGGCCAAACAGCCTGAAAGCTACTCAAAAGAATTTTTACCACTTTACAATTTTCTAGGACATGTGATATACCTTGTAAATACTGTAATAATAATCTTCTCTTTAGAACCAAAAGCAAATGCAATCTCCCCATCCACCTACTCATACCTCTTAATTATAGCACTACTTTCAGTAACTGCTCAAATAGAATATTAATCTATAATTTATACTCTACCTGACTCCAAAAAGGATATGAAGTGACTTATAATAACACATATGTCAGACATGACAGGTGGTATTTTAAAAAACGAGAGTGAGGATAATTGAATATAATTATTCAAAGAACTTAGGATGAAAGGGTTGTAATAAGAAAGAATCATATTTTAGTTTTTGTTTTAAGCTTTGTAGCAACTTCTGAAGGCTTGGAAAGATTTGGGAACACTGCGTGAATGTTTTCTTTCTTAAGCAATGCAGATCATTCATACCTTAGAAAATTCTTATCAATATCTGTTTGTCTTTTGAGGGGAAAATTATCTACTTCCTCAAGTTGTGGAAGGAGAGAATATACAGTAAGGAAAAACAGGGTTTGCTTAGATGGATGATTCCATTTGAATATTCTTATTAAATTGAATGTCAATCATTTTTAAATGATTTTTTTTAAATGTCAATCCCTAAAATTAATCAAGTAATTGATTTACATAAAAGTATATTCTCTGTGTGTGTGGTTATATGCTTTATATAAAATTTATATAGAAAGTTATTTTAATCTGTAGGTCAAACTGAGTTGAAAGATTATGGTGATCAATGTGGCTAAGCATAAGAAGAAATACCTAGCTTATCTAGGACAGAAACTGCACCACTAAATGACTCTAGTTTGCTGTGTATATTCTACAGGACTGAGTTACACTTTAGAACTGCTTCCTCTTGGATAACAAATAAAGAGCAGATAAGACAACTTATTCTGAAGTTTGGGAATACATGGTCCTGAAATAGTTTTTTACCATTTTTTACTTTCACTAATATTTGGCCTAAGTGCAATCTGGGAGCTCTGGTAGCGTAGTGCCTAAGGCACTTGACTGCTAACCAGAAGGCTGGCGGTTCAAACCCACCAGCCACTCCTTGGAAAGAAGATGGGGCAATCTACTACTGCAGTGATACTGCCTTGGAAACCCAAGGAGGGGTTGCTATGAGTCGGGTCCGACTCGATGGCACATAACAACAACAAGAAGTGCAATCTGGTAGTATGACAACCTTAGGAAAGTTATGTTATAAACTTTAGTTATTCTATTTTAATATACAGTTTAAGTTATTTCCCCATTTATGTCATGGTGAAAATACTTAATTGTAGGGGGAAAGAGTTGTTAAAACAGCAATATATGTAATAAAATACATTTTTTCTTTTGAGCAATTAAGTCCTGAAATCAATGTGAAAAAAAAAGGTTCTACACCCAGTACCCTCTGCCTTGAGGGGGTGGAAGAAAGAGGAGAAAGGCAAGAAGGGGAAGTGCCTTACATAACTCAAGTGCTGAGTAAAGAAATAGTTTGAACTGACTCCAAAGACAAAAAGAATCCTATTTTAATCTCTTAATTATAAAGATTATATATGGCATTACTTTTAGAAGGATAAAAAGAAAATGGGATAGCTCACTCTAACATTTAAAAATATACCTAAGATACTATATAAAAAAGAGAAAAATTGATTAGAATATTTTATTTATTCATTAGAAAGTTTTCAAGTTTATATAGTTGATATATAGTTTATACAGAAGATATAAGTAGGAGCTTTTGAATGACACCTGAAAATTCATGTCTCGATTTTATTTTTTCAACATATACTTGAACATTGTTGTTGTTGTTATGTCCCGTCGAGTCAAACCCGACTCATAGTGACCCCTCCTTGGGCAGTATCACTACGGAAGTAGATTCCCAACCTTCCTTCTGAGGAGTGGCTGGTGGATTTGAACCACCAGCCTTCTAGTCAGCAGTCAAGTGCCTTAGGCATTACACTACCAGAGCTCCTACTTGAACATTAAAGAAATAAAAAGAACACACATACGTAAACGACTAGAGAAGAAAGTTAAGGTTATTAACTCTATCAAATGAGACTGATCTTAAGTGCATTTTCATATAAAAATTGTGGATATATATGAATATATATTTTGAAAGTATTAGCCTATAAATTAGGATTTCCATAAATAGTAGAAAAAAAATCTGAGAAAAAATTTAAGATAAGCAAATGAGTCTACATATTAGAAAAAAGAAAAAATGATCAGAAATACTATTCAACTTTACAGATCACTGATCCATTAATTACAAAACAGTGTAGTTACAGCTGGCATCCTGTCACTTAACAGCTATGACCCTGGTCTAATTACTGAACTTTTCTTAAGACTCCAATTTCTCATTTTTAAGTGGAAATAATCCTATTTCCCCCATAAACAGCAATGATTAAATGAGTTAATGCACGTCAAGGACTAAGTAAGCATCTGGTTACATAGCTAATGTAATGAGTGTTTATTACTATTATTATTATAGCCTTTTCTTCCATGTATGTCCACCAAAAGTGTTGAACAGACTGGGTTCTATGTTGCCAGGGGCTGTTTCATTTTCAAATGTTTATCACATTTGGAAAGCTAACCACATACACTACAGCATTTTTCTATCAGTAGTTATCCTAACTAGCTATGAATCACAAAATACAATACAAAAAAAAAATCTTATTTTCCAAAAATAAACTCAGGCCCGAAGGCTTGTTAATTTAAGAAAAACAAACCAACTGCACATCTTTGCCACATGAAGACATGAAGAAAAATGTCTCAGGTCACCTTGATTGACCCCTTTGAAGCTTGTTGTTTTTGTTGTTATGTGTCCTCGAGTTGGACCCAACTCATAGCGACCCCTCCTAGCAGTATCACTACGGAAGTAGATTACCCCATCTTCCTTCTGAGGAGTGGCTGGTGGGTTTGAACCTCCAGTCTTCTGGTTAGCAGTCAAGTGCCTTAGGCACTATGCTACCAGATCTCCTCTTTGAGGCTTAGTGGCATTTAAGTGTTGATTCTCTCTAATCAAGTAAAATGTAAAAAGGTACAAAGGCATATAGACAACTTACGTGATGAAGATCATTTCCCAGGGCATACTCTGCAAAGTAGCCTGGTGCAGCAGATGAAGCTCTGATGGCCTGCCACAGCTTATACTGGCAGCCTCCCAAGTAGTGAGAGTTGGTTCCAGGAAAATGACCATAGTTTCTGAACACAAATGCTTTCGGCGTTACCCCTTTGTTTACTATGGTACTTACAGCAGCTACCTAGTGAATTAAACAGTGAACAGTACTCATTTATTATAAGCAGCAGTATCTGGGATCTACACAAATTAAATACTACTTCACAGTGAGAATGAACAATCTACACCACCATTCAACCTTACAGATGTATAACCTGAATATAACATAGAGCAAAGGAAACCAAACTTTTTCTCATTTCACGAGAAAGAAGATACAAAGACTGGGATAATACTGAGAATGTACTATAAAAGAACTACAACAAAAAGGAAATTTTTGACTACATGTTTTGATTAGCTGTTTAAGCAGACATTTAAGAAGGCATAAATTTCCAGACCTTTATGTAATAATTAATACATCAGTATAGCAATGAATGAATAATAATGATTTATTATGTACTACTTGCTTAATATCATTTATAAATTAGTCTTTGTCTTAGTGTTTTTTGAAGCATCATAAGTCAAAGTAAAAACATGAACACTCTACAAACTCTCAGGGCTTTCTGGTTATAGCATTAAAACTTGGTAGCTGGGTAATTTTATTTAAAAAACTATGTTGATCACCCTTGGTCTCAGACTTTATTGATGTCAGTTCAATTTATGTAAAATATTCTGTATCTGCTAACCATTTACAATATAAACTGAGAAGAGTTTGTCCTATGCAAGTGCTGCAGGGCCTGTTTGCTCGACTGCTTTATAAATCATAGGTCGCATCTCAAATTCCTGTGAGCAATCCAGGTGTGTCTCTAGGCCATCATGATAAGCTGCCCATACACTAAAATCCAGCGAGTCTTTTTATTAATTGGTGTATAGATAATGCTGGATTAAGAAATATGCAAGGGGCTATTCCATTTACCAGGAGTAAATTACTTTTTAAGGGGGCTAAAATTCCCTCACACCCACTCTACTCTGTTATTTATAGTTGTCAGTTCCCTCAGTTTAAAAATAAACAAACAAAAAGCCCTGAAGATACAGAGGAACAAGCCAGAGGTGTATTATGCCTCCTAGGGTCCTGGCCAAAGAGCTACTGCATCCCATCATCATGACCTATAAGGCCCTGCATGGTCTCGTCTGCCTATATGTTCAGTCTCATCTCATACGCTATTCCTGGATGCTTAGGTTCTGTCTTGGTGGCCTTCCTTTAGTTCCTAGGATTCTCCATGATTCCTCCTGAACAGGATGTTCCCTTTGCCAAGAACTCATTAGCCTTCACTTTGGGATCTCAAATCTCACTTTCTTAGGTAGCTTTCTTTCATGTTCCTTTAACCATATGCTTTTAGAGAACTGTTTATGTTCCATGACACTTATTTCTGGGAAACTGTATCTCATTTATGTGATTACTGATTAGTGCCTATGTTTCCCCACTGGGCTATAAACCCACGTCTGTGTTTGTTCACTAATGTATCCAAAGTGGGTACATAATTAATACCTACAGAATGAAGAAAAGATGCTCTTCTTTGTAAGAGCAGCAGAATGAATGAACACTGGGAGTTTTTACTTTACTTCCGTCTCAATATTCCAAAAGTATTTCAAAAAGTTATAGGTCATCTTATTATTTTAAAATATACCTACAACTGAGTCATAACTGATTGTTAGACTGCTTGTTTAAAATATGCATGTTGGGTTATAAACATTAAATTCAAATAAAAATTCTATGTTTCATAATACAATAGTACCTCCTGAAATTTAAGTATACAACACTAAGCCAAACAACACATAACCAAAATGTAAACGTATGTATGTTGGCTTGGGACAATAGCTTTAAAATAAAAATGGATATTAATATTATACTATCAAAGATTTATGTAGTTAGAATTTCTTAAAGATTTTTATGGCTAATAACTGACAGCAACATCTCTGGAAAACTAGATCTAAATGTGCTCTTGGTGACCATCTACCCTAGTAATTAAAAAAAAAAAAAAATATATATATATATATATATACACACACACACACACATATATATGGGGGAGCTCTGGTACTGTAGTGCTGAAGGCACTTGACTGCTATCCAGAAGGCTGGTGGTTCAAACCCACCAGCCACTCCTCGGAAGGAAGATGGGGCAATCTACTTCCGTAGTGATACTGCCTCAGAAACTCAAGGAGGGGTCGCTACGAGTCGGGTCCGACTCAAGGGCTCATAACAACAACAACAACATACATATACATACATATATATATATATGGATATATATATGCTTATGTGTTTATATACATATATTTTTTTATGACCCAAAATTCTACATTAAAAAAATCTTGAAAATTAAGTTGCTTCATAGAGCCTGAAGACACATATGTTTACTACTTCCTCTTAACTTTCCATCCTTTTGAGAAAGCTCATGTCTCATTTGGGCCCACACTGTTGGACTAAAGAAAGTATAACTGAAGTTACACTGTAAGAGGAAGGCACAGGACTAGAACTTGGGCATTCACAATTCTAACTCAGGACTTTCCACTACCCTATACTTTTTCTAAGCAATTCACAGAGTAATTAAAATTTTTATAAGTGGGATTTAATTTTTACATTAATAAAATCTAATAAATATCTATAAGAACCACATATGATTTCTCTTTTAGAAATCTAGAGGAAATGTCACAATTTTCCTTAACTCACTATATTTTATAAATTCTTATGATAAAAGAATTCTTCCTTATCTTCAATCCTAGTCTTTTATGTTACTAAGCTTTTATACTTTTATAGGATATAAAAAAGGTCTAATGATCACATCTTCTACCTTAAAAGAATGACCCACTACATAAGGAATTTATATAATCTACTTGAAGAGATTCCTAAGAATTTCTTCCCTTAATAAAAAGACCCTCAGAATAAATACTTGTACCTAACCTTCAGTTCTAACTAGGTACTATATTTAAAAGACTGTAAACTTACCTTAAGGAGCGCTGGTGTCACAGTGGCTAAAGCATTCAGCTGCTAACCAGAGAGTTTGTGTTTGAACCTACCAGCCACTCCACAGGAGAAAAATGAGGCAGCTTGCTTACGTAAAGATTTACAGCCTTGGAAACCCTATGGGGCAGTTCTACTCAGCCCTATATATAGGGTCACTATGAGTCAGAATTGACTCGATGGCAGTGAGTTTGGTTTGGTTTTTTGGAACCTTACCTTAGGACATGTGGGATTTCTTGCTGTCTCAATCATTAGTGAAGATCCCATTCTATCCCTTTATTAAAGGAGAAAAAATAAATCAAAATGATTTTACATTCTAACAATCAGGGAACATACATGGAACAATTACTGTTTGCCCAAGGTTTTTGTCAAGGTGCTTCTGGTATCGAGAAAAAAAAGTATAAGAAGAGACTTATAATCCAGTTAACGCACATGAAACAACATTGAGCTAGCTGTTAGTTTCTGATTCAAACTTCAAGTACCTATAGTTCAGAAGTGGAATAGGCTACGCAGGCTGCAGTAACTAGGAAAGATGCATGAAAATGTTAACTTGAAAAGGACATCAAAGGATGACAAGGGAACATGTGCAAGGATGGCAAAGGATTAAAGGCAAACAAAAGGAACAAATCTGTTGTTTTCAGGGCCCTGCAAACACGGTTAGGAGCTCTGGCAGCATTGTGCCTAAGCACTTGACTGCTAACCAGAAGGCTGGCGGTTCAAACCCACCAGCCACTCCTCGGAAGGAAGGTTGGGCAATCTACTTCTGTAGTGATACTGCCTCGGAAACCCAAGGAGGGGTCGCTATGAGTCAGGTCTGACTCGAGGGCACATAATAACAACAACAGCAGCAGCTAACATGGTTAAGACTGCAAAAGTATGGGAGGATTAGTTAAAGAGTAACCTAATAACCAGATCAGGACATTTGAACTTGTTTTAATAAATAATACAGAGTCAATATTATCAAATAACTTCTTTTTAAATCATCTGAGTTGGTATTTACTCCAACATTACAGAAATTGTTCTTGGGCAGTAATTTTCACAATTCTATTACAAGGCAATCTTGTTTTAACAGGCTTTTCCAAAATTAAAAACTATGCATTTTCCCCCCTTGATTCAATATAAAAGCTATGGTTTTACCGACATGCCTCAATGAGAAAAAAACATTTTTCTAATGCCATTTTTTTGAAAAATGTTTAGACTTCTTAGCTAGCATGTTAGTGAATTTCACGTAGCATGAGTATTTACCAATGGGTTAGGGCTCCACCCTTTACAGGTTTGTATAAAGATGAAGGCAAAGGGTTTTCCAAAATAGACAAGAACCCTGTCCTTCCCAAGCTAGTGTATAGGTTTTTCTGCATGAAGATGAATGTAATTTCATTCTTCTAAGGGTCTTTCACATTATCTTTTCACAAGACTCTTACCATAAAATTGGGACAGAGAATCTGGGAGCATGTTGCTCTCACACTTTAAACAAAGTTCAGTTATTTTTTGCTTAAACCTTGATTTTATCAAAAGAGCTAAAATTTTTTAGCAAATTATGTATTTCATGGAGATGTCAAAACATGAAAAAAAATCTTCAACATTCCTGAATTCTACTGATGCTATAATTAAACATAATGTCCCTAAATAATACAAGATCATTATCTCAGAAATAACAAAAACAAAAATATAAAAGTATCAATAAACGAGAAAAAGAAAAAAAAAAAAAAGTCCTATGACACAAAAAGCCAAAGAGTAGGTGTGGTAGGTTATAATAATGGCCCTCAATGAAAAATGCTTCCTGGAACCTATGTCCTTTATACAGTCCCTACCCACAGAGAACCAAGGTTTGGTCATTGAGTACTCTGGTCAATGGAACACCAGCAACCATGCCATAAACTGAGGCTTAGCCAGTGGTAGTGCGCTGGGGCTTGCCCTCTGGGAACTCTGAGAGTGCCATGATGAAACGAAGCCCAAGACTGATCACTTAAGGGAGACCCAGGTGCCTCAGCCCTCCCAGAGGAGCTGCCACCTGAAAACAGACTCGTGACTGAACTCAGGCGAGAACTACAGAAGAAACAGTCAGTCAATCCACAGAATCATGATAAGAAGTCATTGTTATTTTAGGCTAAGTTTTGGAGTGGTTTGTTTAGAAGCAAAAGCTAAGTGAAAAGTAGGGAATATAAAAACAACTAATTCTACTTATAAGTTTATCAATGCTGTGCTTAAAAATGTAAGAACCTCTAAAAGAGCACAGCTGAAACATCATGTGCAAATACATGACAGTACTCTAATGAGTAACAAAAGAAAATAGTTCCACAGTGGAAGCTTGTTTTACGCACAGCAAATTTTCAAACCTTTATTAGATAATCTTAATAAATAGCATTATGATTCATAAGCGGCACAAAAGAAGATCAGAAAATAAGCAACATAAATGTTAATGGATGACACTATTTCACAACTATAAATATGTCAACAGTCCACAAAATAACTGAAAAAGTTTATGCAATTTTCATCAAAATATCAGTAAGATTTTTTTATGTAACAGAAGTAGCCTAAGATTTACATTGAAGATTAAACGAAGATAGGTAACAGAATTATGAACAAGACTAAGAAAAGACTTGCTATGTCAATATAAAAACTTTATGGAAAAGGTTTAATAACTAAATTTAGAGTGGATTTGTACAAAAATAAATAAAAATTTGGAAATAGGCCCTAATGTAGGTAAGAATTTTAACTATGATTAAAAAAAATCGTGCTTCAAATCACTGGAAAAAAGGAAAAAGTACTTGGCAAACAATGCTGGGACATTTGCATTAAATACTTTAAATAAATAAATAAAGCACTGTATCCCAACAATATATTCCCCATTAACCCTGAGTGGATTCCAACTCATAGCAATGCTATAGGACACAGCAGAACTACCTACTGGGTTTCCAAGGATATAAATCTTTACAGAAGCAGACTGCCAATCTTCTCCCTTAGAGCAGCTGGTGGTTTTGAACAGTTTAACTTTCAGTTACCAACCACTAAAGTTAGTGCTTTAACCACTGTGCCACCAGGGATCCTTCAACAACATACATTAAAATAAATTCTAGATGTAAGTATAAACCTAATACAACTTTAGAACTAGAAAATAATAAATAATTACCTGACATCAGGGTAGAAAAGACCTTCTACACATCATCATGTTAACAATTTTGTGCTTAGTGGGAATAAGTGATTTTTGTCTTTTCATTATGTAATTCTCTATTTCTCATACAATGATTATTTTAAAAAGGAACCAACATTTGACTTAATAATTATACTTCTTATAAACTGACCCACTGTTATATTCTGAAATGTTGGTAGAAATCTAAATATAAATTTCCCATTACACCATTGTTCAGTATCACAAAACCTTAGCGACAACATAAATGTTCTAAATGTCCGCAAGTATCCTAAATGGAAAGAGTTAAGAAAATGTGAGACATTTATTTTGTGGACTGTTGACACCGTCACACATAGACTATAGTGTGCTCTTTAAAAATGTGCCAAGAAATTTTAATGAAGTTGGAAAATATATAACATCGAAGAATGAAATGACACAAAACAGTAGTTACAATTTCACCTGTATAACATGTATCTAAATCTAGAAAAAAGCTAACAGGAAACGTATTCCAAGGTCTGCAGTTCTAAATACTAGGGTTCCAGCTGACACTACATTTCTACTTTATGCTTATATTTTGGAAAAATTAGTATAATGGCTCTGTGGCACTTGGAAAGAAATGTTTAAAAATTAATGTTTTAGACGAGTATCTGTTAATAATTTGAAAAGAGACTAACATGTTAGTAAAAACAACAATAAAAATATGGTCTATATAAAATTTGATCTCATATTTTCAAAAAGGCAGTGGGAACTTTTACATGCAAATTTCATACACATGGACATAATCAACCAAAGAAAACAATGACTAGAATATAATTCACCAAAATATGAATAGTGGTTACCCTCAACTAATAGGATTAATAATTTAATATTCTTCTTCATGCTTTTCTGTATTTTTCAAGTTATACATGTATTACCTGTATAATGAGAAAATTTGTAAAAAGAATAGTCATAACTTACTTAAGAATCTTTTCCCATGTTTGACTGTCATAAAATGCATGGCTCCAACTCATTTTGACTGTACCAACAATGACATTCTGTGAAAATACATCTGATCCTAATTTTCGATAAAGTTCCTCACATTCATCCAGTGGCATATGAAACAATCCCAACATGAAAGCTAACACAGCACCTGAAAGAAAGAATCCCGTTTTAATTAGCATTGACTTTATAGAACTTATGATTATAAAATCTCCTGAGTTAAATTATAGTTTTGATACTTTTTAGTTGTGTCACCTGCAGGAAGTTACTTGGCATCAAGGAACCCCCAATTTTCTCATCTGTAAAATGAGGATGAAAATAACTACAATTTGTAAGGCTCTCATGTTGTGACAGCACATGTTAAAAGCTTTACCAGAACTCAATAAGGATGAAATAATTCTAACCAATAATTATAATGATAATTTTTAAATGGATACAATATGTTGTTTTATATTAGCTTAAATAATATATAAGAGAGGTATTGTGGTAGATAATGTCTTTTCTAACCTTAAGTAATTAATTAGTTTTAGTCACAGAATATAACTTACCAATTCATTAAAGTAATTACTCCTTCAGGTTGGTCCTGGGAACCAATATATAATTAAAGAAATTAGGTACTCTGGGATATCCTTTTAAAAAGCTCATTTCACACAGAGCTGCAATTAGTAGGATACACTGCCACCTAGTGTGTCTAAGAGGCTGAACCCTGAACAAACAGGAAAAAAGGGGAAGAGAAAGCTTTGGAGGATGGGGAAAGGGTTGGACAGGACAAAGACTTTTAAAGCATCACTGTTTTACCTGAACTGTGATAAAATACAAAGGATAACAGGAAAGAGCTATCATGACATACTCTAAATATTTTATGTGTTTTGTAATACTTGGTCTTATTCCAGGAAAAGATCAGGCAGATTATGTTTTAAAAAGACATTGTTGTAACAATAAATATATATGGGAGCTCTGGTAGTATGTTGTTGTTGTTATGTGCCGTCGAGTCGGATCCGACTCATAGCGACCCCTCCTTGCGTTGCCGAGGCAGTATCACTACAGAAGTAGATTGGCCAAGGTTCCTTCCGAGGAGCGGCTGGTGGGTTTGAACCGCCAGCCTTCTGGTGAGCAGGTCAGTTCCTTAGGCACTACACCACCCGAGCTCCCACTAGTAAGAACGTTACCCTTAAATTACATATACTAACTTTATGAAAATTTAAAATGCAAACAAACTGCACACATTAGGAAAATCACAAGCTATAAGCTATAAGACACAGTAAAAAGATAATGATAAATACAGAAATGTGCACATTACATAAACTGATATTCTGCCTTCAAGGATGAGTCTCTGTGATTTGTGACTCCCTTTATTGAGAGCACCCCCAAGTCAATGTCAAAGCAAGAAGTTAACTTGTAGGTTTAAATATGTGAATTGCTAGGACCATTCCAAAATTTGACAGAAACGGAAAAGCACTAGAAAAAGCACTACTTCCAGAAGAAGCACCGAAGAACACTAGCTGCAGGAAATGTGTCTTTAAGAAAAACTTTCATACTTAAATCAATCTGGGATATATCTATTTATTATATTCCTGTCTTGGAAAGTTGCAGTGTATTTTTTAACATACTGAGGGACTGAAAAAAATCCCTCTGTAAAGAAACCTTTTAATGCAACATTTTCCAAATTTGCTAACAAGCTGAGAGATTGTTATTTGGCAGAATATTATGGGAATCAGTGTGTCCCTTTTAAATCATTCCTGCAACTGCTCTGATCATTTCATTTCAATAACTAAGTGTTAACAAACATGCTCTTTGGGGATAGTTGTCATACTTGACATAGGACAAAGAAATTATTTTGTTTGTACTACTCTTTAGAACTATTACAATTTAAAAGAATGTAAAATTAAATAGAAATAAAATTCTATTAAGGGTAAACAAACATAAAATGAGAAATTATCTATCCAAACAGTAAAACATACAGCAAGGATCTAGAATTTAACAGTCCCTGAAAGCTTCCTGGAGGCTAAGTAAGAGCTATACATACCCTGAGCATGTCCTGAAAGGCTTAATGTACACATGGGGGAGGAAGATAGACAGAAAATTGATAGATGGAAGAGCTGACTTAAGGAAATAGGGGGAAAAAACTTCCCACAGAAAACAAATATTCATCTGATAAAGTTACCAACTTCTACATTTGTAAATACATACTGATTACCATAAAAGTATTAAAAAGTAGCTTTTAAAAAACAGTTTCTCACATTTCTCAATTTAAATTCTGGCTTCAAATAACAAGATGAAAAATGACAAAGGAAGAAATTTCCTCACAAAAAAAGGTCTATCTTACCCATCCTTAATTTTCTATTAGTTCAAGTCTCTCATGAGTACCTTTCTTCCATTTTATCATTATCCATCAGGTGTATGTAACAAAAAGCAATAAAAGACAACGTGTACTTGGGATTGTGGCATAGTTAAAACTTATTAGATAGAGCACATTAAAATCTGTTTTTGAATGTTAACTTGATTCACAATAAACATTTTTAAAAATTTATTAAGCAAACCAAAGGATTATACATCTTTGAAACATGAGACAAATACCTACCTTTCAGAAAATAACCATGATTTTAAACATGAGATCTTAAACAGATAGTAACATTAAAGTTCTGTTCCTTAACACATTGCTGGAATGCACCATTTCTATATCATATTAATTACCTGTGCTTACACCACAAATGTAATCAAAGAGCTGATGAACTGGCTTCTGAGTAAGTTCAACTAATTTTCGCAGTGTCTGAATAGTAACCACGCCTCTGTAGAAAAGATTAAAGGCAAAATAAGAAAGTCTGTTTCAAGGATATTTAAATAACTGCAGTTTAAATGTTAAGATAAAAACTAGTAACATACACTAACGGCAGTAAAAACTTGACTATCCCCGTTTTTAGGGTTACTTTTGAAAATTCCGTATCTAAATAATGTTATAAAACATATATGCTTTATATATGTTATAAAATATATATAAAACATATATGACAGTAGGTTTTTGAATTGTGATTAGTACCTCTTTAAATAAGAATACATGCCCATGTAAAATATTTTTTAAAACATTCCAACTCTAAAAAAACACTTATAATCTCAACTCACCACTTTTGGGATGCCATATTTTAGTTTCTTCTCTTACCAATGTAGTTGGTCACCTATAAGTTTATATATTTATGTTTTATGTAATTCCCTAGTCATACTTCTAAGCTCCCTTGTTTATTCACTTTTTAAAACTCTCAACAACCTTAGGATAATCCTCTGCATTGAAAGTATATTAATTAATGTGGATGACTTTATTCAATCCTAAATCCTTGCCAAAAGCAGTAGATAGCTTTATGAAGGAGTGTCACAGATGAAACAGCCAAGGGGTCCAGGACAATTCCGGGTGTGTGTACCAAATGGACAATATTTAATATTGAAAGACATACAAAAACAATGAAGAGTTCCAAAGCTAATACAGATGTGGATATAATAAATCCTGGAACACAATGGTACTTAGCACCATAAGATAAAACACAGAGTGTTGAATTGTGCCCTTGATACTTTCAACAAAAAATATTTTAAGATGAAAAAAGAAAACCAAAGGTGTTCATTCTTTTTATGGCAGCAAATAATGTGCATTTGATGAGAAGTAAGAAAAGACAAAATGGCTTGTAAGAGAAATACATTATGACTTCAAGGTGAGACATGCAGAATTAAAGATAATGTTGGATAAAATATTCTCCATTATTTATATAAGGAAATAAAACATGCACCTATCTATGCACATATGAAAGACTAGAAAAAAATAATTCAATATATTAATAATCTTGGAGTTGTGAGCTATGGTTGATTTTTAATTTTTCTTTCTTTTTCTCCCAAATTTTTCTAACTACTTGTATAATCAGGAGAGAGCTGTTTAAAACTGCTATCCTCTCCTGCCACTGCCATCCAGCCAATTCTGACTCATGGCAACCCTCATCGGGTTTCTAAGGCTGTAGATCTTTATGGAAGCAGACCGCCTCATCTTTCTTCTGTGGAGTAGCTGGTGGATTTGAACTACTGACATTCTGGTTAGTAGCCAAGTGCCTTAACTACTATACCACCAGAAATCATATATAAATAATTTGGAATAGATTTTAAAAACATACACTTGCCAAATTGCTACTATGCGCCTAAAACAATACTGTTTTGTTGTTGCTAGGTTAGTGCCAAGTCACTTCTGACTCATAGCAACCTTATGTATCACAGAACAAAACAATGCCCAGTCCTGTGTCAGCCGCACAATCTTTGCTATGTTTGGGCCTACTGTTTTAGCCACTGTGTTAAACTTTCTGAGAGTCTTTTTTTTTGCTGACCCTCTACTTTACCAAGGAGCTCTGTTAGCATAGTGCCTAAGGCATTTGACTGCTAACCAGAAGGCTGTCGGTTCAAACCCACCAGCCACTCCTCGGAAGGAAGATGGGGCAATCTACTTCCGTAGTGATACTGCCTCGGCAACCCAAGGAGGGGTTGCTCTGAGTCGGATCCGACTGGACGGTGCATAACAACAACAACAACAACCACTTTACCAAAAGCATGATGTCCTTCTCCAGGAACTGGTCCTTCCTGATAACACGTCCAAAGGAAGCTAGACAGAGTCTTGCCACCTTCATTTCTAGGGCGCATTCTGGCTATACTTCTTCCAAGACAGATTTTTTTAGGAGCTCTCAGGTAGGGTATAGTGTCTAAGGCACTTGACTACTAACCAGAAGGCTGGCGGTTCAAACCCACCAGCCACTCCTTGGAAGGAAGAGTTGGCAATCTACTTCCATAGAGATACTGCCCAAAGAGGGGTCGCTATGAGTCAGGACTGACTCAATGGCAGGTTTTTTTGTTTTGTTTTGTTTTAGCAGACCATGGCATATAGTCAGCATTCGTTGCCAACACCACAATTCAAATGAAGAATCAATTCTTCTTCAGTTTTCCTTTGTCATTGTCCAACTTTCACATGAGTATGAGGCAACTCAAAATACCATGGTTTGGTTCAGGTATCTCGTAATCTCGTAGTCCTCAAAGTGACATCTTTACTTTTTAACATTTTAAAGAGGCCTTTTGCAGCAGATTTGCCCAATGAAATACACTGTTTAATTTCTTGATTGCTGATTCTATGGGTGTCGATTGTGGATCCAAGTAAAATGAAATTCTTGACAACTTCAATATTTTCTCCATTATCATGATGATGTTTATTAGTCCAGTTGTGAGGATTTTTCTTTTTATATGTTGAGGTGTATACACTGTAGTAGGTACTCTCACACAAAACAAAAACAAAACCCATCACCATCAAGCCGATTCCAACTCATAGGCTAGTGGGCTCCACCTGCCAACCTCTTGGTTAGGAGTTGAATGCTTAACCACTATTGTACCAGGGCTCCTCAGATCCTCTTAATAAATAAAAGATGAGGTTTCCTTTTCTCACAAGCTTCATACCACACTGCTTTCATGCCTCCCCTTTGGATACTCTTTCTCATATTCCCCTAAAACAAAGGTTTCTCAGTAGTGACACTATCAACGTTTTAGGTTGGATATGTCTTGTTATGGGGGCAGTCTTGTGCATTGTACGTGTTTAGCAGCAACTGTTCTCCTCTTACTAGATGCTAGTGGCAGAAGCCCCCCACTAATGACAGCAAAAAAGGAGATCAGAAGACGTGGCCTCCCTGCCCCTTTGGCACTCCCTCACTCTAAGGAGACATCTGAATGTCCTCTAACGTTCTTGCTTCTTTCAGATCTCTACTCAAAATACTATTTCCTCAAAAAGAAGCCATGATCATTCTTTCTAAAATAAAGAGTGCTATTATTTTCTAATCCCTTACTTTGTTTACTAGTCTTCATAGCACTCATTATTATCAAATTGTGTAATTTTATTTGGTTTCCTGTTTATTGTCTCTCTCCTCCTCTATTCTGCAAGCACCATGAAGACTTGAATACTGCCTCCGAAACCCAAGGAGGGGTCACTGTGAGTCAAATACAACTTGACAGCAATGAGTTTGGTTTGGTTTTTTTTGGTTATTGAGTATCTCCAGGACCTATGTTCAATGCTCAGAACATAGTAGATACGCAATCAGCATTTGTTAATCGATTTAATGAATGACACTCTTCCTCCCAAAGCCCTCGAACGTAATGGTAGAGGAAACTGGCCTCCCCCCATTCCTCAATGAAACTCATTTAACTGCCACCTTCCCTATTTCTCATCACGTGGAATGAATTCTATGAGCTAGATTTAGTCTTTCTAATTCATTCCCACTTTACATTCCCATGAGTGATGTTCACCTTCTTGGACTATTCACTTCCCTAAGAAACACCCATAAAGATCTCCTAAGATTTTTTTCTTCAATCCGTTCTTTCTCCATTTGCCAAGTAAGCACTTCTATACGTATGCATGCGAACTTACATTCAACATATCCAAAATAAAACTGTCTTTCTCAACACCAATACCCTCCCCTGTACCTGCAATTCTGTCCCAATCACCCACAGGGTTTATACCTAAGAGTGACTTTAATCTACTTTTACCATATCCAGCCCCTCTTTCTTCAAAATTTTCTTGCACTTTTCCCTTCCTCTTGCTTTCCGTTGCCACCATCACTAACAATGAAGGTTAATACTGTAAGCCTAGATTATTAAATACCCTTCTTCTCCCATATGTCACTTATTCCTTCACATTGTGTCAAAGTGATATACAAACTAAGGAATTTAACAAAAAGGGGTAAGAGTAACACTTGAACATACAGAGAGTGACTGGCAAGGCAGGGACATCACAGAGAAATGAGAGGTAAGTTAATGCTAAAAACAATAGACAGGGCACAGAATAAGGATTTAAGCAGGTAAGAGCAGATACAACAGGGAACTGGAACTGAAGTGAGAAAATTTTTGGAAAAGTCCACAAAACCAAGCCAAAGAATCTAAGCAACAAGCAGACAGGAACTAAACAAACTGTTGTTGTTGTTATGTGCCGTCGAGTCAGCCCCGACTCATAGCGACCCCTCCTTGGGTTTCCGAGGCAGTATCACTAC